TACCGGCCGGCACAGGAGGTGTCAAAAAGTTGTCACACCAACCAGGCAGAATTTTGAAAAAAGTCTCATGCCTTTCCCTGGCCACGATTCCAGCTGAGAGCGCCGAGGGCCAGGACAGCATAAGGAAGGGCACCAGCATTGTCTTGCGCGCACATGACGGAACGAGACAGCGACGCTGCTTGGGCTGCTGCAGCATGTGTGGTTCCGCGCTTGACATGCGCCAAAAAAGCTTCAGCCCGTCCACGCTCGGCATAGGGTCAGACACCAGGCCCTGCTCCGCTGAAGGGCGCAACCATTGGGATTAGCATGATCCATGCTATCCGGGCTTGGGGCTGCAAGCCTACCACGGCCTATTCCCCGATGTGCTGGCGGGAGGGCTTCCGCGAATTTGTGCCTAAAGGCAAGATTTTAACAATGCACTTTGGGTCTGCAAGATTCTAGGACCGGATGGGGTTTCAAGGGTTGCAGGCTTAGGGTTTTTGAAGGGTCAGGGTTGAGGGACGGCGCTCCATGCAGGTTCCACTTGTTTTGAAAAGTAGTCCACATGACTGCCGTTCCTGTGTTGTTTCTTGGATTCTCTGGCTTGACCTTGTTGTTGGTCTCCTATTTACATTTTGGTGCGGAGTGGCGGGGGGAGTGTGGGGGAATAGTAAAGGAGGGAAAGCACTACTTTAGTTTAATAAGCATCTAGGTTTGGAGTGCCTTTCAACAACAAAACACCCTACCCTGAAAGAAAACATAGTTTGGGCGTGTATTTGCAGTGGAACAGATCAAAGCAGCATGTCTGAAACCGCAGGGTAGATCATGGGTGGGGTGACCACCCAACGGTTTTAGTTCCGACGATTTTAGAAGCAGTTTCGTCGCCTGCCCGCTGGTAGAAAGGAGCACAGGTTGAATAAAGGCAAGGGTTCATGTAGTTTTGAGTCTTAAGTAGGATCGAAGAGATCGCGTGCATGCTCGGATGTGCTCGGGGTCCGTGTCCAAAGCATCACAAGATTGCCTGCACAAACGCTAGCCAAGGCTCTCTGGATCCAGTGTTCATGGATCGCCTCACAATCGGGCCAATCACCTGTGAGGCACCGAAATCTGCATGTTGCCAAGCCGGATACAGCCGGTCACGCTGAGCAGGTTTTGGCAGGACCAGGGGGGCATAAGGAGCCCGGTGCTCAGGACGCAGCTCGCAGCTTCCCTGTAGTTTGCAAGTGCTCTACATGTCTCGCGGACCAACTTTGTTGCATTTTATTGCAGTCAAGGTTGGATTTGCCACCAATTGTTGTTCGGGTGTGAAGCGCTAAGTGTGCAGATTTTCATCGGCAAGCCTGAGGGCAGTTGTGGACACGCTTGAACTGGCAGGTTGGACAAAGATACGTACAACTTGAGCCATGGCTTTGAGGTGTTGGGGCGGGTGGCTTTCCTGGCATGTAATCATGTAACATACGCTGCTCACCTACTGAAGCTGTGCTAGGTAATAATACTTCGAAGAATGCCAGGTCCTCTACAGCTTGACATGCCTGGACGACAAATTCAACCAAGAAGACGGGCACAAGGTGTGCAGCGTTGTGCAGCCGACCTGAGCATATCTGGTCCTTTGTAGGATTTCGAGATGCCACCAACGCCTGTTGTCGCAGGATGAAGGAGTGGTCGGAAAGGTCAATTCCGTTCTCAACAAGCATCATACCGCTGCAGCCTCCTTATGCTAGGAGGGGTCCAGGGTATGGCCCAATCAGTGCTGCCGAGAAAGAAGCAGAACAGGAGTCTGCCTTATGGAATCCTCTTCGCGCGGCAGTTCAGACTGGGCTTGTGAGGTGTGGTACGCTCTGAACAGTGATCTGCGGTTGAAGTTCCGTCGAAATGCTTTTGGTGCAGCTGCAGCCTCACATTGACATGCTGCCGGATGTATGCTGTCTTGTCTGTGTCAGCAATGGTCGTATTCACAGTATGGTTACCTTTGGCCTCAGTCTGCTGATGGCTCCTGGGCACGCCGACCACGACTTCTCATGGCTGCAGGACACTTGTGTACATTTTAGAGCAGAGTGTAGCCGAGTCAAGACTTGCTGACGTGCCACCGTGTGCCCGTCCCGAAGAAGACCGTTTGGTAGGCTACACTACAACCAGCACCACGGGCAAGTATTTGAACAAGCCCGCGAAGAACTGGCAAGCCTCGGCTCGCTTTGTGCTATCAGAGTCATCCACCAGCATGGTCCCTGAAATTGGGCGCTAGACTCATTGGTCTTCTGGGTAGCCCTTGCTGCTTCAGGGTGGGAGTATGCAGGTGTGTCGAGCCGATCCAGACGGGGAAGGAGGAATCCGAGTTTAAGCTTTGATGGGCAGTTTTGTTTCCCTTGTGTGTCGCTCTGCGGGTCTTTTCTTGAAGCGGTTCACCTCCCTGACACGTTTGGAGCGCATTGCGAGGCAACCTACAAGATCAGGTTCGATATCCTGGGCTTGAGGCCCATTGCGTCCCTTTATGCACGGGTACCATCTTGTTTTGTGCATGCATGTGAATGCTATGCCCCACAGCAGGTACTTGAATGCTTGGAGGACGAACGAGAATGTGGACCTCGAAGTGCTGTGCGGATGCCAAGAACACTCACCTGTTCCTATCACAAGGTCGGCCTGCGCAATTCTGCTTAAGGCCATTCTGGAAGTCACAAGGCAAGAAGTCAGGGAGGACGCGCCTGCATTTGATTGATGAGAAGACGACAAGGCAGAAGTGCATACTGCCATGATCAGTTAGTTTGCAGGCAGATGAGTGACTTGGAATTGCTTGAGAAAGTGGCGCGAAAATGCCAGTCGCTGCTTCGGAAGGTTCCTAGAGCCATCGCAAGAGAACCCGAGCTTCCGGACAGCCAACGAGGTGCCAATAGCTGCCGGTACAGCCAAGTACTTTAGCGTGTCCGCTTCGCTTGGGATCCCTGTGGCAGTTTGACAAAACCTGCGACGGTTACATGAAGCGCATGAAGAACATATTTTCTTTCGAGGTGGGCAAGCTTGCACACAATCAAATCCCTCATCACTCAGCCGCTTCTTGCAGACAAATGCTTAATCGTCGTTCATGCATCGCTATACGCGACAAGGGCTTGGAAAGACATCTGCCTGTTGCATGATGACCTGATGTATCCTGATGTCGCATTTGGGATCAACCAAGTTTTGTGCGTGTATCTAGACTCCCTTCTTCTTTCGCAATGTGCCTAGCTCAGTGCCTTGAACCGGTGTAGCTGTTCAGATGTCTCCCAAACGTCAGATCAGGCTGCAGACTTCCAGGAAAGGCAGACGTGGCCCTTCTTCTTGGAGACCTGATGCTGTCTCTTCCTTGGAACTTGTTGCATGCAATTTAAACCCAACTTTTTGCTTTGACTTGTAGGCGCGCTGCTGTCGCAGGGCAGCTCCTGCGGAAGCTCGATGTAGGGTGCCTGGTTTCCAAGGCTGCGGCGGTGATCGGTTGCGCTTTGGCAACGGTCTCCAATATCAGAGCTGCAGATGCCGCCTGGAAGCACGATTGCTTCACGCATGCGCACCTACGCAACATGCACCTGTGCCAAGGATCGCAGCTTTGTTGCTCCCAGCCGGACAGCTCTGGGACGACCAGTTGCTTAGATTAGATTGGCTTAGATTAAGATAGGAATTGATCGAAGGAACATGGCTGAAGCCAGATTTTGGAAAAAATTGAGGCCAGGCCGCGTGATTTCATGGAGGCTTTGGGAAGGTTTTTGTAATGCACCGACACAAGGAGCTTGGGCTTGAGTATGTTTATGGGGGTGTGCCCCCCCCACGCTACTCCCTAGCAAATATTCGAGGACCCTAAGTAGAAAACTTCAATGTGTTTCAGAAAGCCAGAAAGAAATAAACACAGAAGAAACAGGATAGGAAGTAGAGAAATATGAGTAAATAAGGAAAGAGAAATAGATAGATAGAGAAAAAGGACACGAAAAAAATCAAACAAAGGACCAAACAAGATAAAAGCAAACAAAACAAACAAAGAAGCGCAACGAAACGAAGAAGCAAATAAGCAAACACATGCATATAGAGAAAAGACAGAAAGAGTTTGCAACTCCCTTTTCGTGTTTAGTTCATGCCCAGAAAAGAACTTGCGTGAAAAGTAATAGGAATCCTTTTCCAGACCCCCAACCCCCCCAAAACCCCCCACTACTTCATGTCAATGTCTATTTTACATAAAGAGAAATGGAGGTTTCCGACTTCTCGAAAGAGATAGAGGTTTTCCTATTAAATTCTTAGAGAAAATAGAGATTGGAAGTGTATAGAGACCATACAAGTTGTCCTACTAAAAGACAAAGTTCTGAGAAAATGAAGGTTGTGTGGTGACAACGTCGAGAAAATAATGGTTTTCCTCTGAAAGTATAGAGAAAAATTGAGGCTGTCCGATTATGTACAGAGACAGTAGAGGTTTCCTACTAAAATATAGAGCAAAAAAAGGTTTCCGATTAAACTAGTAAAACATTGAGAAAATAGAGGTTTCCTCATTCAAGCATAGAGAACATAGAGGTTTTGTTTTCCAATTGACATCTGGAAAAACAACTTTCCTACTAGAACACAAAACATAGAGCATATCTAGAGAGAAGAAAGGTTTTCTTATGAAACTATAGAGTAAAAAGAATTTCCTATCAAAGCGTACCCCGAAACCTCCACCCCGCCCCGACAAGAGAATAAGGGCGCAACCCCCCTCCCCCCTCCCCCCCCCCTCCCTCCCCCCGCTGTTCGTGCCAGCAAGCTCTTTCCAAAGGGCAAAGTGCGTATGAATCCTTACCGAACCCGTCGCAAGAGCAGTTTGCTTGCAAATGGCCCCGCTGTTTGAAAGACGTTGGGAGCTTGCTTTAGCTGTCATGACATCAGCAGGAATTGCCTCAGAACCATACGAATCGCAATTCGACACCCGTTATAGATACCGAGCAAAGTTTTTGAACACTTTACAAAACCCATATGATCCCATACGCATTCTTTCCAAACTCTTCACACGGCAATAGCCTCCGCCGTAGAAGCACATGAAGCAAATGTGTTCGGTGCAGCTGCATGAAGACGAAAGGCCAACAGTGCGCCACAAGTGGTTTCTATGGGTGTACGAAGAAAGAGGCAAAGTCTTGCCTCTGCTGATTGGGAGCAGAATGCCTTGGTATGCCTGGTTCCTCTTCTGCCAAGCTTCCGAGGCTCTGGCGCATTCCGGTCATCCAGCGCCGTGTCATCCCATAGCTGCACTCGAGCTTTTGAGTAGTTAACGGTCGCCACATGACCATGTGCAGGATTCTTGGTGGCTGAGTTTGAATTGTGTGAATTCATGTCTGCACGATGTGTGATCAAGCGCTGCTGCAGATACCAGGGTTTTTGCAGGGCTTGCGCGAATGATTTCTCCAAGGTGCTCCAAAGAAGGTCTTTCTCGACAGGGCCTGCGACAGGGCCTGCCATGATGGCCCTCACTGGTGCCGCTTCGGCATGTGCACTGGGTCTTAGAGGACCCGGGGCATATGCAACCACGGCCCAAATCATGGGGCCGCTGAACTCAGAGACATGAGTTTGCGAAAAGGAGTGCGAGGCAAGCAGGTGGCTCTGAGAGCACGGGGTGGTGTTGCTTGGCAAATCGTGGGATTGCGTTGTGTCACGTTGCTGAGCAGTAATTCTTGAGCTCAGACAGTGCCAGACACCAAGGATCAGGACTACTACGAGGTGCTGGGGGTGAGCAAGAACTGTTCGGAAAGGCTTGCCGAATCTGCACAGCAGCACTCATTGGAAACCAGCGCAATGATCAAGCAAATATAGGATTCAGAATGTAGTTGAAGCACGGAGGGCCAACATCTCGCACTCGTCAGCCGCGCCAGAAATTCCACTCGAAAGAGCCCGAACAGAGACAGCCTTAATGGCCTAATGTGCAGCAAGGCTGTGCCTCAGAACTGAACTTGAGAACCTGCCAATTATGATGCACGCGCTTGGTCACAGAACAAATGATTACTCAAGCAAAGGGAGCACCCAAACAACTGTGCTTGGAGCACCGTGGACAGGCGCGCTTATCTATAGCACGCTCACCATCAGCAATGTTTTACGGTGTGCGCGCTCGCTTTGCTGGCTTGTCCAACCTTCGTGACGAGATCATCATGTGTGCATCATGTTATGTCATGCTGGCCAAAGCTCACCAGCGCAGGCAGCGCATGCGAACATGTTGCGGTTTGTCCCCTAATGTGTGAGGGTTCTCGTTTAAAGAGTTTGGTCTGTGTAGAAGAGGTGACCAGCAAGTTTGCCAAAGCGTTCGCAAGCATTCGCCAGCATTCGTGAGTGCCGCGCCGTTGCGGAAGTCTGCGTTTTGGCATCGTTTTGGGACCCTGAAGCCTCACCAGCACCGACGATTCCAGGGATGGAGCCCCCGTTGCTCGGTGTTTCTCGTCAATGTCGTGACTTTTCGAGTCTCCAAAAATGCCAACAGCTAGGCGGAGGGGTTTAGGAAGTTTAGGGTTTTAGTGTTTAGGGTTGTAGGGTTTAGGGTTTTCAAGGCTTCGGGTTTTGCCCAGAGCACTTTAGGGCTTTGTAAAGGTTTGTTTAGGGCTGCAGGTTTTAGGGGTAAGGGCATAGTGTATTAGGGTTTAGATGGTTTAGGGTTTAGGGGTGGGGGTGGGGGAATACCATGGGGGGGGGGGGTACTGACACGCAACACGGCATTTTGGCCCTCTTTCCATGACATGCAGTGCCCTTGCTTTAGCTTTCTCGGAGTAAGGGCCATTGCGGTGAATCCGAATTTCGGTCTGAGTTTCTGCATCAGGGACCTCAAGACTGCCTTCCGCAAGCTCGCACGACAGTGGCACCCGGTGCTCGACTTTGCTGTTATTGGGTTTCGCTTCTGTTCAGCTACCGTTCCGCTGACAGATGATTTGGGTGAGAACTGAGGACGTGAATAAGGAGCCTGGTGCGCAAGAGAAGTTCCAAAGCATAGCGAAAGCCTACGAGGCCGACATGGTGATGTGTCGTGCTGGGGGACACTTTTCCTTTGGGCCTGAGCCTTTGAGCTTTGAGAGATTTGGAGAGGTGCATGTCAAATGCTTTCAGGTTTTGTCTGACCCACAAAAGAGACAGATGTACGACCAGCCCCTGGCCTGCAGTTGGACACATCTGTCCTGGCATGGTCCTTGCTTCTTTCATGCGACCTTGACCTTGACTGAACGGTACTGAACGGAACCACCGTGCCAAGGTTCGGAGAAGCAGGCGCGGCAGACACCGACGGCTAGATTTCTCAAGCCTGCAGCCGTTGCGAGTGTTGAGTTTTGCGGTTGTCGCTGCCATTAAGATGCGCAAGGCGTCAACGGAATGGGCGGAGCTGGCGGCATGGGTGGCATGGGCGGCATGGGTCTCGAGGAGCTCTTAAGTCAAATGCTTCCTGGCTACACTTGGAGAGTTGAGCTGCCGAGCTACTTGTTGTGCTGAGCTGCTCGATGATGCTAAAGTGTCAGCAGCCCAACATTCCCAGCCTTTCAATTTCCGATAGTGCGGTGGTTTGGCTCCCTCAGCCCCGAGAACGTGAGACGTACAAAGCCCACAGAACCTTTCAAACCTATAGCGCCGAGAAATTCCATCAATCCTATATATAGCCTAGAAGTAATCTGAAGCCCAAACCCCAAATCGCTTTGGTGCTTGGAGGGAGAGGCTCTCCCTGCATCCTGGCAGTGTGCAGCGCATCGTCGGGGCCGAGGTTTGGTGGAATGGGCGGCATGGGCGGCATGGGCGGCATGGGAGGTATGGGAGGCCGACGCCAGCGACAGTCAGGACCGCAGAAAGGTGCAGACCTGCAGCCAGGCAGCATCTGCGCTTTGCGAACACAGTGTATGAGATTCTGGAGGTGTCATTGCTACTACGTGATTCATGACGGACAAGTTTGTTTACCGAAGCAACGCTAAGCTGTTTAGGAAAGAAGCTCCGGCTGCTTCTTGATAAACAGTAGATATGTTTGGGGCGTTCAGGCAATGATCTAAGTTCAGGTGGACAGCTCTGTTGCATTGAGCTCGTCTCTTTGCACAGTCAGAGCTTCTAGTTGAAGTGCTCAATAGTGCTCATTTTGTAAACCATCGTGGCGGTATTGTCAGCTCAGGCAACTGGAGGTGACAATCCCCTTCCTGCGCGGCTCCCAAGGCTGTTCTGCAAGACTCAGGTTTGACCTTAGGAAACCCCCCTGCGCCCCCTCCCTCCCCCCCCCCCATGATAAAGCAAGAAGGAAGGCTCAGGTAGGAACCCGCTCCCGGCTTGGGCCAGTAAGGAGCCATTTAAGTCTGGGGTACCAAAGCGTAGAGGGGCCGCCGGTTGAATAAGGGGGCATTCGTGTATGAGCAAGGTATGAATGAGGAGCCCGCCGCTCTGGAAGGGAAACCCGTGCCCAAAGAGAGGGTGGGGGGGAACAGAAGTGGTGTCGCACTTTCGGTATGTATTGCCTGGGAATTCGTCAAGGTTAAATGGAAGAGGCTAGCCAATGCCTGGTACGGAGCGGCCATGGATGGGTGCTGGGAGGAGGAACGGGGTCTCTGTAGCAGAGTACGCAGGGGGCCCAAGACGCCACAGCGCACTATCGCCCGGAGGAGGTCCAGAGCGTATGGACATGGTCGCAGAACCGGGAGGAGGGCATCCGCCCGCCGGAAAGGGATCCTGCTGGACCCGCAAGGGAGATGGGAGAAGGGGTTCAGCGTCTTCCGCACCTGCAGCCAACCCAACAAGGGGTGCACCGCCATCACTAAGCACAACACCTGGGGGCAGCGCAGTCCAGCGTACCAGCGCTCCCAACGAACGCCACAGCGCCCAAGGAAGGGCAAGAGCCGGAAGAGGAGTTCCAATGCGGAGGTGTAAGCTCAAGCGCACTGCGCATGATGGCCGAGGACACCCAGGACGGTGACGACACCGAGGGGAGGTTGTGCGGAAATCAAGGACTTTTCGAAGACTGGGGAGGCAAGAGCTTTTCGGAAACAGTTTGGGGCGGTGGAAAAAGAAGAGGGCTGTGGGAGCACAGTCCAAAGATGCAGGACCGATGGAAAGTGAGTGATGCCAGCCACGTGTAGGGAAGTGGGAGGCCCCTTGAGATATCTGACGTTCTGGCAGGGCTCGTTTCGATGAGTCATAGTCACCGAGACAGCGTTTGGGGCCGAAGGCCGATTAGTAGCTATCACGCACATTGCGAGATCAGGCACCCGGCCCCTTGTGTGGCCCAGGTGCGTCTGGATTGCGGGATTTGTCGGTTGTGGGGTTTAGGCGCCTTCGGTTGAGCATTGACCTTGGAGGTAGACAGCCACCGATGTCGGCCAAGTGCCAGTGGGTGGGGCTTGTTTTCGCACGTCCGAATCGGCAAACACTCTGGAGGGCAACCCAGTACAACCCAATGGAGGCTCCGAGTTACATTTTTGTTTGCCTTGCCGCCGGCAACATGCTTTCACAAGGGACAGGGGCGCAGGACGAGTTTGTGGCGTTGCGGACTTCATTTGGGCACAAGGGGGGGTGAACCTGTTAAAGCGCTGGCCCTGAGCTTTTCAGTTGGAGCAGCTATGACCCCGAATACAGGGGCGAGCAGACACGCCCGGAGGCTCGTACAAGCTAATTGTAAACGCTTCCGCGCGCCGCCTCGGCAGCCGGACCGGCCCCAAGACAGGAAAGGAGGAACCCTCAAAAGGGGAGGAAGGGTCCAGATCCGGGGGGGGGGTCTGAGGCGCTCACTCTGTAGGAGCCGACAGGCAGGACCCTCCACGGCATCGGTTTGCAGCTCCTCCAGCGATGGGGGGGGGGTTTGTGGTTTGCGAGCGAATTGTTGTTGCTTTCTGCTGTTGGCAATAAGAAGTTTAGTTCGGTTGCGTTAAGGACCGCTTGCTTTGGTGGCGAGCAGAAAGTGGACATCAGACGCGAGGAGCTCCTTGGCTAAGAGTGTGGCAATGTGCCCAATGTGCCTCATCTCCGTTCCGAGCTGCCAGCAATCACGTTCTGTTCTGCTCAGGTCGTGCGGCACCTGCAGTGGCACTGGCGTCAAGCCGGGTGTAGGTCGTCTCCCAGTAATCTCGTTAAGCGAATCCTGTTGTTTAATCGCTGCAATCAAAAGCTGCGGTTGTGTCTTTTCCATGCAGGACAGACTCAGTGTCGTCAATGCGGTGGGACGGGCTCTGCTGCTGTGATGCAGTAGCTTGCAGTGCTCGTAACGTTGTCTTGGGCATGTACTTGGTACAGAACTTTGGTAGTTGAATCGCACGTGGAGCCCAGTGCCTCCTTTTGCGAGTTCCAGCTGTCCTGTCATGCTGTGCTGAGGTGCTGCAAGTCATGCAAACACCATTCGGGGTCATGCAGACACAGCAGGCCATACCTGGGTTCGGTGGTTCGGTGAAGAGCAACCTGAGCATGTCGTGTCAAGTTCACCTATGACACTTTGGCAGACATGTTTAAATGTTTGGGGATGCATGAATCCATGAAGGTTTGCCCGGCGTGCAATGGTTCTGGAATCGATCCTTCCGCTGTATGCAGCACCTGTTCGGGCAAGGCATGCGATGCGTTGCGTTGCAGAGTGCAGTGAACCGACATGAACCGAAATCTACTGTGGCGGCCAGGGCACAGTACCGAACAGGCAAGAAGTCACCGTCAAGGCATGCCTGTGCTTCAACATACTAGAAGTGACGGGCAGCCGATGGGATTTCAGGTGCCAGCAGGTTGCAATACTGGTCGGTGACCCAGTGTGGCTCAAGCGTGCGATGCACTCGAAACTCGAAGCGCTAAGGCAACCAGCTTCGGCTTAGAGGTGAAGGTGACAAAGGACCGGATCAGCGAACTCTGCTTGTGCACATGAGAAGGTGTGCAATGCTCGATGAAGCTCGGTTGCGACTTCTGATTGCTAGACTGCTAGACGGTCAAAAAGCAAGGATCCAAGAAGGGTCCCGCTGGAGATCTTTATATTGGAGTGAAGGTCGAGTGGCTTGGCATGCAAGGCTGAGGCTTCAGATGCGGAGGCTTTTCGTTCACGAGTCCGCATTCGTGCATTGCGTGATTCCGAAAGGAACTCCAGCGATTTTCAGCGCGAAGACTTTGATATTTATACCGAGAGCTCCGTGGGTGTGTTCGATGCCATTCTTGGGACCTCCATCAAGGCCAGGCTCGGAACTCGAGAGGGTCGAGAGCGCACCAAGCTCAGGCAGTCGAAGAGTCTAGGTCAATCTAGGTCACTAGGTCTGACCCTGGGTGTGTCAGCCGAGATGCTCTTGGTCCGCAGGGGCTGGCCTGTTCACAGCCAGGTGAAGACCATTGATGGGGACGCAGAAATCAAAGTGCCGAAAGGCCGGACCTGTTCAAAGTTTGTGTGGAAGGCTCCGCGGGTATTTTCTAGCTGTGAGGTACGCAGCCTGAGACGCGTCTTCGAATCAGAGGCCGAGGTGTGCCAAAGCTCGGCAAACCTCAGGACTGAGCAGACCGATGTTGCACCATCGTTGCAGCGCTTTACTTGCAGGGGCTGGCGTCGATCAGACTAGGTGTTTGGGTCTGTTAACTGGTTCATAGATACAACTAACGGTATGATTATTGTGTGAAGGCTTGTTTCTGGAAAGCATGTCTGAACAAGGATGTGATCGCGGGGATGTTGGACTTGTTTGGTGTCCACCATATTGAATCGACAGGAGCGTGGTGATCACTACATCACCGTGAAGGTGAACATTCCCAGGAACTTGTCTTCAGATGAGGAGGAGAAGGTCACGGAGCTCCGCAACGGCGCGAAACAGTAGATTACAATCTTCAAGCGAGCGCGTTTCGGCGATGAGCACTCTACTAGCATCAACACAGCAAATGCACAAAAGGAGCAGGCTCGCTTCTTTCCCTGCTTCATGAAAGCAGGCACCTGTTATGCTTTCAGTCAGCAGAAGGCCTGGGGATGTGTCTCAAATTCAGAAGAAAATTCATATAGGCCCCGATACACCCCGACATTTCCGCGCAATTTGAGACACAACTGCCAGAGACTCGCTCAAGGAGCGAGGCAGATGGCCGCGCTGAGATACAGTCTCCCTGTCTCGGTCCCAGCATGGAAGTTGTGAACGGGGATGTCTTCCAACGAATGCAGACCTTCCTTAGACACCTACTGAGCAGGCCCCCACCTGAAAGCACGTAACGGTATTGCCTTGTGCGTTTCAGGCACTGCAAATGCTGTTTTGTTAGGCAGTGGATCGCTGGGTACAGAGCTGTGACCAACAAGTGAGTGCTGGCCTAGAGGCCGCTCTCTCGGTCACTGTAAAAGCCCCGTTTCGAGATTTGGGGCTGGGAGGGCTGTAGTCTGTAAGGATCTGCACATCTTACCTTAGACCTTCTGCAAAGCCACATCAGCCACATCCCTCTCGGCCCCCGAGACGTGTGACGTCAGTTGCCAGGCTTCTTTCGAATTTTCCAGTTGCCACATCACCGTGCAACGGAGCTTGTGCGCTACCATGCGTGTGCTGCCTCGTGAAATGGTCGATGGAGACACGGGCTGGTAGGTTCTCTGGGCTCAATCAACTCAGCCAGCAACTCACCGCCTCCTTGCATTTTTTAGTTGGTTTCGTGTTTGTCATAGCACGCTGCAGACTTGTATTCTTTGAGTCTTTGACTACCTATTGCTACCTGGACTTCCGATCTTCACCATGGTATGGAAATTTGTACTTTCCTTGTGCCGTGCGTTTTTCGCTTGCCTCTAGTAGAAGAACATTAAAGTTTGCTACATCTGCCAGATAAAGCAGAGGTAACACGAAGACAATCACAGAAGGGCGCAGTCAGGGGCTCTATAACCGCCGGCTTAATGCCACAAACCTGCCCAGACGCGCAGTATGCAGAAAGTTTGATGCCACTCTCCCTAGGTGTGCACTTGTTGAGTGTGGCCGTGGAAGCGTTCCCTTGTGACATCGTTCCATTTCACCACTCCAATGTTGCAAGTTTTGTGTGCTTCCCTTCGAAAGTGCACTCCTGCACTGTGAGTGATATCACGTGAAAATGATGGAACAAGAATTCTATCCAGCACTCCTCCGGCCCAGTCGCGCGCCCCATCATGCAACATGCACCGGTGACGTGGTCGCAGGAACTGGGCGACGTGCTGTGCATAGCTGACCGAAATCTATGTAGACAAGAAGTACGAAGAACATGAACCGTAGGGATGAAAGCAAACAGATTCGGGTGCCTGGGCCGTCGGGGGAAAGCAAGTGAGGTGGATCTGGTGCCCCTGCATGTCGCCTGACAATCGCACTTAGCTTCACGCAAGGAATCGTTGCTGAACATCGTATCGAGTCAAAGCTGCTAATTTGAGATTTTGAGTGTAGCTTACCGTGTGCATTGTGAAAGGGCTTCGACGAGAAAGAAGGCGTCGATCGGGAGTCTTCTGCGGCACCTTGACAGAAAAGGGAAGTACAGGAGACTTCTTCACACTCTAGCAGCAGGACCTTTCAGCCTGTCTGCCAACTGCACCCAGGAAGTGGACGCTGCAGAGTCGCGCCTCTTGAGAACCCAGGCAACATCTACTCCTCAGGACTGGGCCTGGGTCTCAGAGGAACACTTGAACATAGCTGAACAGCTCACGGTTTCCGTTGTGCAGCAGTGCATGTTGCTTTCCAAGGAAAAGTTCAAAGTGAAGAAGGACCGTGCTTTGGCTGCAAGCAGCTTTGTTTCTTTGGCCCATTCAAACAACTCCACTTTATGTAGATCTCCCCATGTCGTCGTTCGAGAACACTTGATCGTGGTAAAACCATTGATGTGCTGAAATGCTGCAACGAGTGCTCTAGATGCCGAGGTCTCCTTGGAGCAGGCTTCCAGGCACCTTTGCACAAGGTGCCGGTCATCCCATACTTGCAGACGGACCGGGCCTGACTTCGTGCACGTGCAGTCGGGAACAGAGAAAGGCGAAAGAGAAAGAGGAAGAGGAAGAGAAAGAGAAGGGAAAGGGAAAGGGGCCTGGGAGGGCCCCCAGTGGTCCTGACCTTCAAGCCCGAACGAAAGAAGGAGAGAAACTGCTGACTAGTGTAGGGGCATGCCCCAAGCTACATAATTCGGAGTCACCACGCGTTGGCGGCCCGGTCCCCGAGTTGTCGTTTAGGCTTCTTGGGCAGTGGTCGGGTTTGACTACACTGAAGGTACCTTGCGCACCGACTTTGGGGGCAAAAGGCTTTCGTCCGGACATCAGAGATGCCCGTGCAGAGGGGTGCACCCCTCTAAGTCCCTCGAAAGAAAGACGCCTGGTGACTCCCGAATCCCCTAGGCGCTAAGACGGAGGAGGAGGAGAAGGAGGAGGAGGAGGAGGAGGAGGAGGAGGAGGAGGAGGAGGAGGAGGAGGAGAAGAAGTAGAGCGGCTATGTGTGTCACCCCGCACGAGGAGCTGGAGGATGAGCTGGATGTGCCGGAAGAGCCAACAGAATCGGTTCCGAAGGAACTCCCAGCGATGCCTTGAACACAGTGACTCAAGACAGCCCTAAAGAGTTCCGCATGTTGTGCTGAGTTTTTTTCTTCATGGGTGTGCTCCTTGCCAGGCCCCTCCTCCACGCCACGGCAGCGAACCGACTTCAGGCGAGATGGCCAAGCAAGTCTGGGTTAAGGGCTTCCGTATGCTTCTGTGACAAGTGATTACTTTTAGAGCCATTCTTCGTGAAAATCCGCTTGTCCTTCAGCACGACGTTCTTGGTTCCGCCCCCGCTCTTTCATTTCTGCTTGTCTCAACAGTATGACGGCCCCAGCTGGCCTTCCGGAGCGCTGACAAGGCTTCGCAAACAGGATTAACAGGATTTGTCAGCACTTGGCACGCGGTTGAGGTCAGCTGTCTCCACAAAATTGGGACTCTCAACTTTCGACTGAGCTTGGCCGAGTCGCTACGATGTCTCTAGGTGTTGCCAAACCAGTCGAGCTGCTGCAGAAGAGAAAATTGGCATGTCGCCGTGATGGGTCCAGCAGGCTCCAGGCTAAATGAGGCGTGCCAGCTGGCCGGTAGCCTGGGAGGAAAGAAAAACGAAGCCGACTGGATGTGGTGCACCGCTGTCCAAGATATTCAAGACTTCGCAGCGAACACAGGAACCTGAACCCGGAATATCCCAGAAACGCGTATATAGGGAGGGATCGGCCAGTGGCTCTTTGCCCACAAAAAGTGTGCCGGAGCCGCGCCGGCAACTAATTTAGTGCCAACAAGAGTGTGGAGCAGCATCAAATCTGCACCTCTCAGAGGGCTCTTGAAGTGAAACAACCTTTTGGAGTCCCCCGATCGATGAAGCGCGAAGCCTCTCCGGGGCGTGCAAGTAACACCTCAATTTTGTGTACTGGCGCTTGCACGGCCTTGCTGGATCAGCATGCTAAAGAAGCTCTTCTTCGATTTAAAGGTACGTGTGTATTGCGTGTCGAGCTGGGCACAACATTGGTGATCGAAAAGACCGATTTCTTCATCTACACAGCGTCTACAGGCGTGAGCTCCATCGACTTCCTCACAGATGGTGTTCAGTCTAGGTAGCGGGCTCGACAGAGCCTGCTACTTGCCCGACTTTCACTAAACCTTAACCAGAACCCAGCACCCTGAGGGGGGGCAGGGGCCCGAAGATGCCAGACTCCTTACCATTTATAGTCACGCGCTCGACGGCCCGCCCTCCCCCCCTTTGTGGTGTGGTCGTGGGTTGGTTTTCGGGCTTGATTTAGGGTTTTAGGGTTTGGGGCACAGGGTTTCCCTCCCTCCCCCGCTGTGGTTTGGCTTGGTTTAGGGTTTGGCGTTTGGGGCGTAGGGTACTTAGGGTTCTAGGGATTTAGGGTTTCAGCGAATAGCTTCTCGGGATCTACGGTTTTGGGGCTTAGGTTTTTGAAGCTCAAGATCTTCAAGTTTATGTTTTAAAGTTTTAGGGTGTAGGCTTCAGGGTCATGATCTAGGTGGTCCCCACCCCCCCGCTGCTGTGGTGTGGTTGTGGGGTGGTTCTAGGGGTTCGGAGTTCGGGATTCGGGCTTCGGGTTCAGGCCTTTGCATCTTAAGGTTTCAGGGCTTGGGGTGTTAGGGCTAGAACGGTCTTTACGTAGGGCTTGAGAACCCTAACCCTAAATCCTGCCCAAGAGCCTTAAGACCCCCAGACCCGGACACGTCACATGCCTGACAACACATGCCAGGCCCTGACGCGCCAGGGCCTCAGAAGCCAATTGGGGAACGCTGCTCAGATGTGAAATTCGTTGTTGCTTTAGGCCTTAGGTGCAGCGCGGGCTTGCAATGAATCCGTTCCATTCCAAAGGAGGCGCCCCTCAATGTGCTGCCTGCCTGTGGCCGAGGCCCGAGGAGGTCTTGGAGGCCAAGGCATTACTGATTTTTCCCGAGTTCGCCGCGGGCTCAAGTCTGGCTCCACTTTTTTTCACTTACCAGGGTTTGCCGTCCTGCAGAGTCGTGCTCGCAACATCCGCTTTTACCAGCTGAAGATAGCTGTGCAGGTAGATGACTATGTGCTCCTCCCGGACATAGCGGGAGACCGAGCAGCGATTGCCGAGTTGGACAGAGCGAACGTTGCCGCAATCCACCTGCCCCAATCCACCTGCCTTCTTCTGAAGGTTGTTCGCTTGACAAACACGGTCGACAAGAAAGATGAAGGGTTCTCCCCTCAGCTCAGCTGGCACACCCGTTGCCAGTCTTCAAGTTTGCACCGAGAGGGAAATCAGCACACGCTCGGATCGGAGAGGGGCCGGACAGCAGAGCAGAGCAGAGTGGAGCAGAGAGGATCCGAACCAGCAACGCCCAAAATGACGACACTATGCACGCGGGTCACCTGACGTTCGTGCACGTTCTTGCTCGGCTGCAGATTGCTCTCGCAGAGTCCCTATGCCCTAGGCATGGAAAACATGTCACAGCACTCCATCTGTACCAGGATTGCGTGCCTATCTCTTCCTTACAGCGGCAGTGGCCTGCCGAAGGAGGTGTCCAAAATGACGCAGCAGGCATTGGAGTTGAAGCTGTGCTGTTGCCTTGCGGGGTCAAGCTCTCTTGATGTTTGAGAGTTTTGAAGTGTTGCGCATGTCGTTTGACAGCGCTGTGCACAGTTTTGGGTGCTTTTAGTTGAAACTCATGCACTAGAAGTGTTGAGACTCGTGCTGAGCATTTGGCTCCTCGACGTTTTGGTCTTGCCTGAGTCTTTGCACTGTTAATCTTAGTCTGTGCATTCGACATTTCAGTGCATGTAAATGTTTGCCAGTTGCGACTTGTGCAGCTGTGTTCTCAAGCGTTGGCCGCTCCGCCACTTGGTGCTTGTGTGCCCTGAGCTTCTCTTAGCTCTTCAAGACCAGACCGGACTCAGGACCTCGCTCCTACCGTGCGTGCTCTCGGGTGCGTGTAGTGAGGTGCACGCGCTCGTGTTCACTAAGTAGGATCATCGAGCACGAGGGTCTTTTTCTTCAACCTTTCTCCGTTTCTGTGTGAAGCCGGACGGCTTGTGCTAGCAAGCTTCTTGTCTTTTCCTGTGTTTACGGCATGGTTGGTTGGGTAGGGACTAAACACAGTTATAAGTGTGGAGCCTCGGCTGAGCCATTGAGGCTCGAATCCATTTGTTTTCCATGCGACATGATGCTAAAAAGTTCGTGCGCTCATGATGCAGAGGGAGTGGCATGTGCATAGGAGTGCAGTATATGGTTAACGCCTGCATGACTGCGGGATTCGCATCTGAGCTCTGGTAGCAGCTTGCCTTGTTGGGAAACAGCTGGGTTTTCTTAATCCTTCGTTTGCTAGCTTGCACTAGCTTGCACTAGCTTGCACAGGCCCGACGGCAGGTGCCTGTCCGCTGGTTCAGGGATAGGGCTGTGCTGCAATTCGTCCCAACCTTGGGCTTGCCGACCTGCCGATGCCTCAGCCGGGGCGAAGCATGACCCATGGAGGGGTAAGTCCCGAGAGATGGCTACGGGCAAGCCGAGCTTTTCAATGCGTGGCTGGGGGGCTTCGAGGTGGACGGCCGAAGTAAGGGATCCTTGGGCCCTGGGTCGGTCTGGCGCTGCCTGCTAAAGCAACTGGTTTCGACCGCCAACTGCCCATCCATGCTCGAGCCCTTCGCTTGGCTCGGCTTTCTACCTCGTCTGCCGGCTTCTCGCCAACTGGATCTGGAGCAGGCTGGGGCGCTCGAGCTCTGGTCAAAGGGGTACTCCGAAGACCTTGATCTTTTCAAAATTCGCAGGGAAGCCAAGGTCAGCATTCGAGGCGAGTGCCATCTCCCTGGGAGCGGCACCTGTTTGCTGGTCGTGGCTGCTCCAAGCAGTGGCAATGCAAACGGTGCACTCAATGGCGCTTTTGATGATAGTTGATGTCTGATGCTGCTGTGGTGCTGGCTGCACAATTTGTCGGTTGTGTTCGGTTGTTGGGGACGAGACAGTTCCTACATGGTTGCTGTTTGTTGATTGCGGCAGGCCTTGCGGACACGTGATGTCATCCATGAGTACTGTCCAGGCCAGTTTGTGCTTGAACTCCAGGCATCAAGGTCAACACACGCTTTTGCAGTTGAGGTGTAGTCTCGGCCCGTTTGTGTGATAACCTGAGCGTAGTTTCCAGTTTGGCAGCCAAAGTTCTCTCCGGCAAGTACTCGTCTGAGCCCCCGATTGGAGCAGGAGCGGAGCACAACGGCAAACGTCTCACGCTGACGACATCGGTGCGCCACTCCATGTTATCATGTTCGACAGCTTTGCGCATTAAATTGGGGACTGGGCACTGAGGACAGAGTGGAGGTCATTGTCCACAACGCGGAAACACACTGGGCCTATGGCCGCAAGGCTGGGCACATGGCCTGTGCAAGGACAGGACCTTGTGAACACGCGGTTCTGCAAAGCCCGGGTGTTCTTCTTGTCTTGTAGAAGCATGCTGTGATGTGCTGCGCAATGGGGGGTAGATTCAAACACACACACACACACACAAACACTGGGAATCAGGTGCAGATTGACCACCACTTCCAAGGCACCTGCTGTTTTTGCCAAGCAAGGTCGTTCAAACTTGGTGTCCCCATGACAATGGGCAGAGCCGGACATGTCCCTGCTTCCTCACGTGCGTGCTGACCTTTTTATCACTTTTCCTGATGTTCCTGATGTCAGGAAGGCGATCAAAGGAAGAGGGCTGGTTCCCAGATTGGGCCCACATCTCAGTTGTGCAGCTTGTCGTTCTGAATCGGCCGGAAGTGGACAATGGCGGGGATTGTTGGGTGTTGTCACGATAGCTAGCTCCTTGGAGGGGTGAAGACCGAATCGCAATACATTTTGCCTGATTTGCGCGGCCATGAATCAGAAAGCAGCAAGAGACATATCCTATAGCAAAGGTAGCAAATCAGCAAACAAGCTGCGCATTCTTGATCGTTTTTCGGGAGGTTGGGTTAGGTTAGGTTGGGTTGGATCTTCGGACGCAGGTCGAGACTCAGGGTTTTGGCGTTTCAGGGTTTACACGTAGGGAGTTTAGGGTATAGGGTTTAGGATTCAGGCTTGTGAGTAAGGGGTTTCGGCGGTGGGGTTTTAGGTTAGGTTAGGGTAGGTTGGGTTGGGTTGGGTTGGATCTTCAGGTGCGGGTCGGGGTTGAGGGTTTGGAGTTTCAGGGTTTGCACTGGATCGTGAGTTATGGTTTCGGGTTACGGGTTTCAGGAGTTGCTTTAGGTTAGGCTGGGTTAGGTTTTGGAGTCAGGTTCAAGGGTGGGTTGAGGGTTGTGGGTTACAGGTTTCGGCCATTTAGGGCTTAAGGGTTTTGATTGGGGGCCAATTTCGGGGCAGGTCGAGACTTTGGACTCGGGTTTTGGGAATTCAAGGCTTTGGTTTTCGGTTTTGTTTGTTTGGAGTTGTTTCCTATGTTGCGACTCGCCCCTTAGATCTACGACTCATGTGCGCATGATTCGCCTGTCATCCCTCCTTGGAGCTTGCGTTCTTTGTTTGCAACCTTGTTGTGTTGGTGCAAATGCGACTTAAGGTGACCTTCCTTGTGATTCAGGGATTTAAGGTTACACGGCCCTGCCATTTCTTCAGCAAGTGCTTCAGCAGCTGCATTTTCTGGAGTAGTAGCTCTCGTCCGTCCTGCTCTCAAGTCAGGTTAGGTGGTTGCGTATACGGAGCTAGACGTCCAGCCTAATTTGTCACGGCGAGATCAAGAATTTGATGCTCACATACAACGTGAGAAGTTGTTCCATCGCTGTTTTCGGCACTCCTCCAGCCACCCTCATTGCACCTCAGTGCCATTTCACGACCGTTTCCAGGTCGTGAAGCCTATTCGGAAGATGGATTGGTACCAGCACTGCTTGGAGGATGGACTGCCGGTCTTGGCTTGGTGAGTCAGTCAGTGAACTCCCCCCCCTCCCCAGGGTCAGTGAATGTCAACGATGCACACGACACCCCGACACTGCACGCAGTACTACTGTAGTTCTAGGATAAAGTCGTTCCATTCTGCAGAGGACAGCTTGGAGCTGAGGGATCTGAACTACGATTGGCAGACCACCCAGCAATGGCCGAATCCCAGAACATCTGTGGACCGCTGGGCGATCTCAAGCAAGCAATCTGGAGTAGTCTACAAGTGTTTGTGTTGACTTGTATGTTTTGCACCATGTGACAGGGGGATCGTTCAAGGGCGGGTGGGGGGGTGATATTTCGCCCACGAAAAGTCTGCGTGGAGCCCAGCGGCAAGGGCGAGTGCTGTGCGAGCGCAAGGTTCAATGATGTTGATGTCAGGGCTTGTCTTGGCTGCATGTGCGTCTAAGTCTATTCAGGGTACAAGGTATACGTGGTTTCAGCTTCACGACTTGGGCTGCTGGCATCTTCTGGGTTTGGGAAGCTGCCAGCTGCGGCAACCACAATTCGCGCAAAAAACGAATGTCTACTGATGGATGGTCACCTTTAGAAAACATGTTTTCGAAAGCAGGTAGCCAAAGGTGTCCTCTGCCCAAGATGTGAGTTACAGATCTTCGAACATCTTTTCTGCACTCCAGAATCTATGTCTAGTCCTCTCTGCAAATGCTTCATCGAATGTTCAGCAGGACCTGGTGGACATCTTCGTCGACGTGTTTGCTCCAACATCGGGTAAACTCAGGCGGTTGTGAGTCACTCACGCTCAGAACAGCTGCAAGACAGTGGTGTGTGAGTGTATGTGAACAGTATTGCGCAGTTCTTTGAACCCATTTGGAGGTTCGGGCAGTGTCTCCCGCTTCGGATAGTGGGTTAGGTGCCAAATCCCAGTGGCTTTTGGGAGTTTTGCAGGTGGGATGAGTTCTTCCAAGTCGGCAGAAGCCTGATGAACCAGCGCCGTCGATGCAATTTGATGATGAATCGAGCCAGCTTGTGTTTTGCGCGTGTTCGCACTTGCGACTCCTTGGTAGTGTTTCTCCACCACAATGTCCGCGACCTTCGGAGCCATGCGCAGGCGACTCTTCGGTATCACTCCTCATAGCTATGATGCAAAAGACGAGGCATCTGTTGACTCCATGATGAGAGTAAGCTGTGTGCAGCTTGAGTGTGCTGCCAGTCCTGAGCTCCTCAGTCAGCACGCGCTCCTTTGCTTCCATCATGCGCTAGCAGGTGCCGCCTCATGATGAGTTCTTCAACCTTGCCAACTCCTTGGCAACACAGCTATGGCAAGAATTTGACGTCGGGATTTGTTGTCACAGTGTGCCACAATGCTGTTGGAGTGTCTTGTGAAAGGCTTACTACTTGCATCAGGCGCTATCGCATCTCTGCAAGAAGAAATTGCCGTCCCATGACGAGCTATATAGCCTTGTGCTGGAATGAAAGCCAGGGATTTCATGGTGCGTGACGAGCTTCCACAAAGATGAATA